TAAAGCATCGGAGTAAACTCAGATGAAATATTTTACAGAATATAGTATAAACTGTCAAAGAAAAGAATTATCTTACAACATTTGCATCCGTCATTGTAGAATAATTTAAAGTAGCAGAGGTCGCCAGTTGATTTTGAAATCTAAAATGAAGTAGTATAATGATCAAATAGTATTAATGTTGAATTTTTAAACGAACCTAAATTAAATATAAAATTGAATTACATATACCTTATGCAAGTCCTTATATATTCAAAATCTGAAATGGTTACTACAATTAACAAATCGATATTATATGCTATAAAATATATAAAGATGGCAGACTGATACAGAAATAGAAGGATATTTTTCTTATTTATTTGATTTATGTTATCCATTAATTTAATAAAATTTCAGTTTAAATTTTTTAGGACTTTGAAACTGTCGAGACATTGTTTTTTCATAAAGTAACATTGAGTCTTTAGAATAAATTCTTTGATCTAAATTTCGTATCTGCCTATTTTTCAGTTCATATTAAATTTAATGAGAAGAAAAATTCTATTGTGGAGGTTCTATAATAATGTAATTTATTAAGATAAATGCTACAGTTTTATTTAATTACCTATTTCACTCACAAGTAAAAATAAAAGAAACAGATGGATATCAGTTCTTAGCGTAATTTTTCAATCCTTTAGGAATACTAAAGAAAGAACAGATTGTACGCGGTATCATTTTAGAATTTGCTTTGTCCAAAACCATACATAAAAATCATTTTTTTATAAGTAAGAATTTTAAAATCTTTAGAAATAATTTCTCTATATTCTATAAGTCTCTGTATTAGTATATTCGTAAAATTCTATCCTAAAAATTGTTAGTTTCAAAAAAAAAGAGAAGTTTGATTTTCATTCAGTACATAATTAAATTTAATAGAACTTATATCTATCAAATTATAACTACCAGGGCTCCGCATAGGATGGGATGGGACAGACTTTCTGTCCCACAGGTCGATGCAACTCATTTAATCCCATCCTATGGGATCTGTCACATTCTTTATGATAATCTATTTTTATAAATACAAAACAACATTACTATTATCTACAAAAAAGATAAGTAATAATATATCCCATGGGAGATACGACTCATCCCATCCTATCCTATGGGATCTATCAAAAATAAAATGTCGTCCCATTCTTTCCCATCCAATGCGGAGCCCTGACAGCTACACTTATCGTCTATTAATGAGTGCTAAAAAAAACATACTGTAATCTAAATATATTCGGTTGATCTCGATTTCAGTATCTCAGTATAGAACAATTACATAGTAGTAATGAAGGTAAAGAGGTAATTCAGCTTTTGCATTATTGTGGTAAAATGAAGAGTACCTCTTTAAATTTTTAAGAAAATAGAGAGAAAAAGCAGAGAATAAAATAACAAAATGTTTCTGTTACGACATTTTATAAAAATAATAATTATACCTTTGAAAATGTCAAATCATTCAGGTAATTTCTTGTTTTTTTATCAGTTACTGAATATTTTTATAAATGAAAAAATTTTAGTTAAAGATAAGAACAAATATTTTCGAAAAAGCACATCAGTATGCGTTATATGATAGCTTATGAAGCGAAAATATGATAGAACAATCTTGTCAATGTCAATTCCGTATCGATTTTAAGCTGAAGAATGTTGATGTAGACATTCTACTAATTTTTCAACCAAACTTTTCCTATAATATAATTAGTAGACACCGAACGTTTTCCATCTGTTCTTGTCTATATCATTTGATGATATGCAACACAGGTATATATAAACACATTACTTCCTTTCCTTTTTGTCCGTTCTCAGACCACTTTTTTTTCTTCTACGCTTTTCTTTTCTTTAATGTATCTGTGTTTCTATCTTCATTTTAGTCAACAAAACTCATAGAGAAAAAACCATGCTTATACAGGAAAGTTACTTCTTTACAATGCGTATATTAAATGTTTTTTTTCTTAAATACAGATCGGTGTACGGAATCCTTTTTTTGATTTAATTCCTTGGAGATGGGAGACATATATTCATGTTCGATTTTGAATAAATGTAAGAAACGTTATGTAGACCTTTTCTCGTGCAATTATAATTATACATACTAGTACAGGTAGTGAATATGTTACGACTAATATAGCATAACATTACCATCTGTACAACGTTCGCATTCATGTGCGTCATTGTAAATATATTTTTTCGACTATTATTTTGTCTCAAAATAATCTCATCTTCAAAAGGTTAAAGAAAGAGAAAAATATTTCATATACAAATGTAATAGAACACATTCTCTATGCATTAGATGCACTTATTCAAACTGTTATTCATAAATATTGTTTACAAACTTATCAAACATGTTATGGTCATACTGTTCTTTTTTCTCTCGTTATTATTGTATCTATAATTAAGGATACATATTTATTTGGTGACAATTTTCAATACGTTCGTCATTTATAAAAAAAACACTTCTCATGCATGGTTCAATTTCAAATATCAATAATGAATCAAAGAAAAGGTAAGTATAAGTATAATATTCAGATCTTTGAGGACAAAATAATATATTCAAAAGTGAAAATATTATTATTTTTTGTTTACTACTGGATTTCGATCTAAACCGTGTAATTTATATGCGTATAACTTTGTTTTTCTTTCAATTAATCGATCTTATTCAATAATTGACACATATATATATATAATTTTGGTTGCTTATCGTATCATCTTATATACGATGTGAAAAGCGAACCTCTAAAACACTTATGTATTTTTTATATTATAAACGTCATATATATTTATATATATGAAATGCATTTTATATGAAGGACGGAAGACATTAATCAGACTAGAAAACGATGTCTATGCTCGATTTGCATGATTGACATATATGAATGAATAGAAAAACTAAAAGATAAGGATATGGTTATGGATGTATCAGATCAAAAAAAAAATATAGAATCAACTAAGGACATATTTAAAAAAAAATTCTTTTATGTAATATTACGTTTTATAGAGAGGCTAGTCATCGTCTAAACTTAAGTTGTAAATTGATAATTATATTTCTTGTTTATATATATACCATTGAAATATGTTTTTTAATTTAACCTTGTCTATATGAATCATGTAGTAAAATACGCTCTCTCAATTATAAATGTATATATATATGCACACGCTTGAATGCATTTATTTGTCAAATTTTATCTCGTATATGAATTATGGACGATAATTAAAATAAAAAAAATACAGTATTTTATCTGTGTGCAATAAAATATACGACAAAATATGGATATACATCGGAGGTAAGAAAAAACGATTTAAACAATGCAACCGATATATATGTGAGGATGAGAACAATAGGAAAGATAAAGAATGACAAAGTGGGGTTTTACAATGAGAAAGTAGGTGTAGGCTATTGTGATTGATGACAGAGAGAAAATTGCGATAACATTACATTATCTCATTTTATTATCGATGTGTTTATTCATGCATAAATGATACAAAAGGCAAATTTTTTGTCAGTTATTATAAGTATACATAAAATATAATAGAAAAGCAAACTCATTATATAGTATGCTATTATATCTCTATTAGTTTCATTTAAATTCAAATTATGTCTAATGGTAAGTTTAAATAAAAGAGTAAACGATTGATATTTTTCTTTTCATTAAAAAAATGATAATAATTATTATTATGATAGAATAAAATAGTCATGTCTTGTTTTTTTTCTAGTGTATGTATTTTAGATGAACGCGTATGATAAGTATTTTTTCGTCTAATATAGCTAAAAAAAGAACGATAATTTATTTTTTTTCTTCAAGAATGTTAAGTAGTTTAATGATAAATCTTAATATTGTAAACTATTTGATATTGATTAATAATCACATAATCATTTTTTCATATGTAAGTCGAAGGACATGAAAAATATTTTGATAAATAGTTAAGTAAAAAAACGAGAGTTAATAAGTAATTGATTTATTATATATTGTACACAGCGGCGGATCTAGAATTTTGGAAGGGGCAGGGGCGATTTTTTTTTGAGTATGGAGGGGGCGCGATTTTGGTTAAAAGCTATTTTTTAAGTCCAACCGAAGTCGTGTGAACCTATTTTTTTGTTCATTTTTGCTGTAAAAAAATGCCCCCTCCCCTAAATCCGTCACTGATTATACATTCATAATTTGATTTTTGTTTAGACGAAGTTAAAACCGTTTTCATTGAAAACGATATGATCACAACAGATCTGACCGATCAAGCATTATTAGTTGTTCTGGATGATGATGATTTTGATGATGATGATGATAATGATGATATTTTTGATTTAAAAACATGTACAAGTAATATTTTACTAAATCAGAAAGAAGCACCAATCAATCTTCCAGATGAAATTTCGCTAAATGGTAATTTTTTTAAAACAAAAAGAAAAATTTTATTATTTAAAAAATATTTAGAAAATCAATCAAGAATTGAAAATGAAATAGACAATCCATCGAATAATTCTCCAATTAATCTTAAAAGTCCAGTTTATTTATCACAAAAATCTCATCAACAACGACGAAAGAAAACCGCATCAAAAAATAAGAATATATGCGCACCACCCATTCGAAAACGTCGCAGTAAAGCTACTCAAAATATCACTTCTATTCTATCATATATTTCATTTGACAATACACCGAATATTTTAACTATCTCTCGTATGGGCTCAATATATTATTGTGTTGAAGATCTTTATCGAAAAGTATTTTCATCATTGTGTCTGTTCAATCACTTTATAGATTCATTAATAAAACCTCAAATACTTATTCTTAAAGACGTAACATTATCAGAAAAAATGTCTATTGAACAACATGATTCAAAAATAAAAAAATTTAATCGCACACGTTACCGTCTACTATCAATAAATTCAACAGATTATTTAACTAAATTAAAACAGTTATTATTAACATATAAAAAAGAAAAACATATTGATAAAATTATTAATGAACTGAAATATTTCAGACCAGTATCCATGTGCAATCAATCGCAGAGTAAAAGTAAAATATTATTATAATTTGTTTTTCCGCATAACTTCTTTTTTTGTATAGGTACATCATCATCTAAACGACGTTTATCAACAGATGATGATAATAATGAAAAATGTAAAGCTTTAAAAACAACACATAGTAAAACATTTACTTCATCTAATGATCATGTTAGTAAGAATATAGTTCAATCAAATGAAACTACATCTGAAATAATAACAGAATCTACATTAGAAAATAAGAATACAAAATGTCACGGCGAACAAAATGAGAATATATGGTATGTTTGTTTTGTTCTACAAAAATATTTCTAGTATATGTTTAAGTGGTGATTGCTGTTAGCATAATTTCTAGAAAATTTATATATATGGTATAGTTTGTGACTATAAGAGTAGATATTTGAAAATTATTCACACGTTTCTTACAGTGGACTTTGCCTTGTCGAGTATATTTCATTACAGCGCATGAATAGAAGAACGTATTGTTAAGGACGTCTCGTCATTAACGCATCTATCACATTTATGATATTAAGTAATAATAACTATCTAATTATGTCTTTGACATGTATGAAGGTAAATGGCAACCACGTTTTATATATATAGAAATCATACCGAAATAGTAATATTATTTTTACAAGAATAAAAACTTTGTGAAATGATCATGTTAGAAAAAGTTATTAGATTTGATAATAAATTATTTTTGTAAAATATGATAGGATAATAATTTCAAGATAGTGTCGTAACTGACCGAATTTTAATAAAGTAATTAAATTCTTATTCTATGTTTTTGGTTGTAACAGTATGAAAACATTTCAAATTAATGATGACAAGATCATCATCATCGTGAATCGAAAATATTTTATACGATTCATATTACATGTACTATTCTTTTCTTAGGAAGAAAGCAAATTATTTCTATATTTAGAATAGAATATCTCAACTGAGAAGCCATAGTTGACATTTTTTTTTCATTTCTAAATTGTTGTAGTAATTCATTTGAGTGAAGAATATATTATGATAAAATTTTAGTATTAATAGGATAACAATTGATTTAAATTAGACTAATACAGATGAATTAGTCTTTCGTTGATTTTATTATTTCTTTTTGATATATGTAGGTCTTATTTATTTAGTTCAAGAGAAAATTTACTAAATAAGTCTGAAACACGCTTGTCTCCACCAATTGAAAATATTCTATTTAAAGCACCTGTTATGAACTTATCTGATATTAATGCCATTGATTTAACTACTCATGAAGATGCTTTATCAGTCGCATCTCCAGTATCATCAACAAATGCAATAAGTCGTTCAAATTCTTTTGTATCGGATAAAGAAGACAATGAAATGCTCTCAACACGTTTAAATAGTTTAGCGTCGATGAAATTCTTTACAAATGATAATATTATGTTGAAAAGTCCATCAATAGTACCGGAAAAAACAACTGATACCAATGATATTAATTTTACTATGCCAATAATTGTAAATGTAGAAGAAAATATTGAAACTGATAATCGTAAAGGTAATTTTATTTCGTAGATTTATGATGATAAACAGATTGAAAAAGAATCGAGTAAATTATAGAATTATCCTATAATGTTTCACTTATGTTAGAATAGAAACTCAAGTCTGTTAGACTTAAAATCTGTAAACAGAGGCATAAATTATATTCTTAATATTTTTAATCAAGAAGATAATTATTTCAAAAATATGATAGCGACTATGACTGAGTGATTAATTTTTTTGATACATACTCACAAGGTACTTTGTTTGAATCGTGGCGTTAACCGACATAGAATGATCCTAGACAGCACCTCATACTACAAGGTCGCTGTGAGGTGGGGCTTTCTTTCTTCCCCTTTCATTTGAATAAAGAAGGATAAGTTGTGTGTTATAAATAGTTTATAATATCTGATAAATTATTTTTAGGCTTTCAAAAATATGTTAACAATCGACAAAATATATTATCGCCTGAACAATTATCACCACATAATGCTACTTCAAATATAGAAACAAAACTATCTAGTTCAATTCATTCAAATCAACCCTCACGTATTTATATAAGAACTAGAAAACCATCGCATGATGTTTGCTGTCAAGATTCTTATCCATTATCCGTACCATCCTATAACAATTCAAACGAATTATATCGTATTAATCATGATACTCAATCAAAATTGCTTCATAAGGGTTCTTCAATTACCTTATTACCTATACGAAATCCACTTCGTCATGATTCATCAACAACAGATCAATCAATACCATATTGTTCATGTTGCTCTTCTCATAAACAAATCTCCTGCAAATCTTGTATATCCGAAAAATGTTTATTAAAAGCCCGAGCATTCATACCTATTTCCTATAATGAGAGAATGAGTCATCCACAATATACATCTTCAGATTCACCGAAATATGATTATGAACCAAGGATTTTATACGAAAAAGTATCATCATCTTTTAATCGAAAACGATATCGCATGGGATCTCATCCATATCAATCAACAGAAACTTCTACAACACCAATATCACAAAGTTATTCTCGTACTCAAAATTTATTAAATAATGATACACCACATAAAATAGATCATTATCATCCAGTACAATCCGTTTCTATACAAAAATCTTCAGTATTAAACAATCCAATAGATACTACCAATGAAATAACATTACAAAATATGTGTACTGGAAGTATTGCTTTAACTCAGGCTATTATTGAGCATAATGATTGTGATATGGATAGATTGCCTAAACTTCTTGTACGATATAAAAAAACTTATTTACATAAAACAGTTGATACAATGGGACAATTATTTCCAACATGGTTTAATGAACCTGATTATCGTTGTATACATTGTTTTACTTGTGATCAAGTATTTACACCTCAACACTTTATGATACATACGGATGATAGACAATTCATCAATGAACAACCAATAAACATAACATCAATAGAATTAGTACCATCAGAACAACTTTCAAAAACTAAAGTTGACTTGTAAGTTTGAACTATATACTTCTTAACTGATTCATTTTCTATATTCTCAGATGGAATCAATTTTGTTCAGATTTAACATATTATACAAGGTAATTATACATATATAAATAAAAAAATAATAATCAAATTCTATTCATATTTTATAATTCAGTAAACTTGCAAATGAAGAGAAAAAAGATAAATATAAAAATGCTTTGAAAGGTATTCAAAATAAAATGAATAATATTCTCGCTGCTATTCATATTAAATACTAAAAAGCGAAATATTAATTATATTGCTATTCATTTGATAGACAAATGGTATTTGTTTAAGCTTATTTAAGATGAATTTAAATAATTTTCGAAATATATTCTGAATTGTTTATTTTTAGAAATGGTCGCATTAATGGTTTCTCAAGAAAGGCACCTTCTGAATAATAATATTGACGAATAAAATTGTTGAATTTTAAATATTGATGGTGTTTTAATTCGAAAAATATTTCTTATATGTATCATGCTTCATGTATATTTGGCAAATTGATCGAGGAGAAAAAACACGTTATTTTTCTTTTGAATATGTTAGCAAAATTTCAATTACCTGTGATATAATTTTTTTGTTTTTTAAATAATGTTTTTTGTGTTTAAGAAAATTCTTTATTGTTGGCAACTTATTATAATTAATTTTATTAATAAAAATTTATATATAATGATATCAATGACTGTATAGGTGCTCAGAGATAGGCACGATTCGAATTTTCGTCGAACCTACTCAAAAACTGAAAAAAGTCATTTTTAGATGAGATTGATTTTTAGTTTCGTTGAATCAAACCGTGTTTATTCCTGCAAGGTACATCATGTTTTATACAATGCGTAGCTCTACTTGCATAACACTAAGAAAAACTTATCAGACTGACGATTTATTAAGTTCAATTTTAAATTCTTGATTATTTTTATTATGCACGACATCCATTATAGTGATAAATAGAAACAAATTTAGAATGATACTGATAATTTAAAATTGCTTTTCTGGAGCAATCCTGTTTATAAAATATTGAAGACACAATTCGCAATGTGTATTTTTTCTTTTTTGAACAAATAAATATAGGGTGCAATTACTATTAAGAATCTTTATGTAACAAAGGTGCGTGTGGGTATGTGTTTGGGTAAATAATAATTAGTCCACACCCACCCTAACAGTTATTATTTATTGTTATCCATCTATGAAGCTAATTACTATTGTAATCTGCCCAGTATTTATTTTATTAGTACAACTATAACAAAAAAATAAGATTAGAAGAGAGGAAAATAATCATAAAACTCTTTTGTGTGCACAATGATTTTTTTAAAGTCTATTTGTTTCAATCGAGCACAATTACGACGCGTTGCATTTCTTGTGAAGTTGTTTGTTACCAACCTTAATTGATCATATTTGATACATAATATGGTTAGCTGCGGTAGATGTGTTTTGCTCTGATTGAGAAATTGTTCAACATAACAAATATGAGAATATTGTAGACGTAGTGAAATAAGATTTGGATATTCAACAATTGAATACAATTCATTGTTGCGAGAGATCAAGTTGTCTTTCATTTGTAACTGTGGTTCCAAATTAAAAATATGTAACTTTTTAAGCAAAGGAAAAAAGCGTGCAATTCGGATAAAAAACTCGTATTCGAACGGAGTTTCATCGTCTACTGTCAATTCCCTGACACAACTGAAGTGTACTGGTGGAAATGCATTACCAATATATCCGAGATAATCAAAAGCGAATGGTAATGAAAATATATGACATGTGACACTATCAGCTATGTAGTTTAATATGCAGCATATTTGTTGATATCCTATGTTAGTAAAAGTTTGTTGAATATCTTCGTTTGATAGATGAGGAGTTATATAATGTAGTTTCACTTTAGTATTAATATGAAAAATAAATTTACGAAGACATGGTATATGTACAAGAATGTTATTATTAATTTGAGTACCATCTATTAATGTAGTTCGTTCTTCATTGGTAACGTTTAAAGTTAATTCTTGAAGTTTTATCATACGATGAAGAAGAGGCAAAACTCGAGTATCATATTGATTAGTCATGCATTGACATGTTAATGAGAAACATTTCATGTTAGGTAGATCATCCTAAAGTGAACAAACGTATTATTATCGATTAGAGAGAAAAGTTAAAATGACTAAATGGTTTTTGAAACTTTTCACACACATAACACAATCGATTGTTGACTAAATAACTGAAACAATTTCAACTGAGAAAAATATCTAGTAATAATACATGAACCTACCATATTGTAAACACTTGATAAATCATTTGTATGATGAATGTCAACAATAAATGTATTCAGTTGTTTGAGACGACCATCAAGTAGTGCAAAACAATCGTCAAAGCAGAAAACATCAACGCATAACTTGGTAAGATTTAATGACGACCACGTTGTAAAAGCTAAATCTTCGATAGATAAAAGTTGATCACATTGAATGACAGATAGATGTTTGAGATTTTTAAAAACATTCAATGTATATTCATACACATTTATTTCGTTCGGATTGTTTGATAATATATGTCTAGTTCTATTATATACAAGAATGAGATCAGTAATCTGTTCTCCAAAAATATGTCGAAATGATGATTCAGCTAAATAAATAATTAGATGTTATCCACTGTATATAATATTTCTATTGATATTTCTTGCCTGTAAAATGACGTGAAACAATATGGTCGTTAACATTGTAGAGTTTAAGTTCGGTCAGATTAGGATAGTTGGCAGCCAGGAGAATACGTTCCATAGATTGTGATTCAAGAATAAGTGATTTAATATTATAATCAATGTTTGGAAGTACATTAATACAAAATCGATCAGTTATTAAATCACCAATGGACAAAACATTACCAGTTATTGTTGTTAATACAAAAGTGAGAGTGTTTGTGAATGTTTTTTCTTTTACTATCTTATGAAGTCGTTGATTATCGACATCAAATAATGAATAGAGAACATCCATATTATGAAGTTTGTTTAAAATAATCAATAATAGTTCATCAGGTAGATCCAAAAAGCGAACATTTGACTGGTTCATATTAATTTTGACTGATGCACTGTTTAAGATGTATCAAACATATATATGTTCAATACTACTTGTAGCCATTGTTATCACTGAATAAAATGAACGGATGACCCTGACGGAAAAATAGTGTTGAAGAATAGGTGATGAATTCATATATGCGTTATTGCATGTTCAGAAAAAGTAAACAAGGGTGGGTGTTGGCATACAGATGAGAAGATCATCCACACCCATCGAAACCAGAAAAACCTAGTTTAGCACATCACTAGTTAGTGCACATCCATCATACGAAATGTTTGAATATTTATTTCAACTTCGATTTTCTTAACTAATTGCTTTCATACAAATAATGATTTTGATTCAATTATTTATTTAAATATTTATATGTACACATAAGAAGACACAATATTTATTCATTAAAATATGCTATTACCAATACAATATCATATTAAATAGTACATTTAAAATATAATCGACTAGACAATAAACGATATGTATGTTATTTTATTGTTCATTAACATGGCAATGAGTTTCTTTAAGATGCAATGCATCACATTCGAGTTTCTATTCAAAAAAAAAATTAAAATAAATTAGAAGAGTAATAATATTTTGCTTTTACTTTAAGTGCTTCACGTCGCCGATATTCCATCTTAGCTTTTTCGACTCGAACCCAATAAGGCACATTTTCAATACTTGAACGAATTATTTTACAAAATAAAACTAATAAATGCTGAAATCAAATATTAATATTAGATTAATCAAATAAAAACAAGAATATATTCTACTAACTTCAATACAAATAAGTAGAAAAATTTCTGCAGCAAATGGAAGTCTTGGTACTAATCGTCGAAAAACTCCACGAATTGAACAAAATATACAATTAACAATAATTGCTGCTACAATCATATATTCCATAATTTTCTTTAACAAAAAAATAAAAATTAAACATTTGATATATTTCTAATAAAAATGTACTGATATCTACCTGCCAATGACCAATATCTTTAACCCGTTGTGAAAAAGGTCTTTGATAAATCATACATAATTTAAATGCATCAGTACGTATTTCAAGTATATTATTTATCAAAGAAAAGAATGCTGCAAGAGGAAATAATGTTGATAAAAATATAATGTAACCAAATTGAATAACTAATTCAAGATAATCTTCATATAAATCAGGCCATTTAGGTTGTAAACATTCAATTTCAGCTTGCGATAATGATAATGTTTCAAAACTAGGTATAGTATCACGTGGATTAAATGAAGAATCAATAAGAATATCATCGACAGGTTTTGTTTGTTTCGAAGTATTCCATTGATCAAGAATACGTTTAAGTTCATCATTAAGATCTTTTCGTTCTGTATATTTTGTGTGTTCTTTTTTACTTAATTGCATCAAAAAAGATAAACGAGTATTTGAAACAATATAAGGAATAATTGCTTCCTAAATAAATATATATATATGAATCTTTATTATTATTATCAAGAGTAGAATAGAAAAAATGCGATTATTTTCTTACTTTAATATGATCCCAGAATTGTTTGATAACAAAAATGGTAATTAATTGCTAAAAAAAACATTATCTATAGATAGTATATATATTTTTTTAATTTTACTGATATCGGATAAACGAATATATTTATGTGTAAAGAAAGCAAATAATTTACAAAGAAAAAATTTTTTTAAAGAAAAAAAGTATTATAATTACATTATAGATTTTCTTTATTATGTTCATCTGAAAAAATATTATTTAGAGAAGGGTGAGATAGATAACTGATTTACCTTTTTATTTTATCAATATTTTTAATTGAGCATTCAAAGATTCTAACTGACGTCTGAGTTGGTTCAATTCGAATCCATCTTGTTGTGTATTTTGAAGTTCTTTATTCTTTTCTTCCATTCGGTTCTTCATATCTTGAATCTAAGTACAACAATTTTAGTGAAAACAAATCTCATTAATTAAATTTTACTTCTAGGTCTATTGTTGGTTCATCATTATCATTACGTGCATGAAAATAATAGTCGTGAAATGGATAATAATTATCTTCCAATATACTAAGTGCAACATTTTGATCGTCTGCCATCTAGAGATAAATTATATAGAAATGATTCTTTATTTAATAAAAATAATCACCTTGAATTTTCATTTTTCACCTCCTTCCATTTTAGTTTTTCACTTGTTGTTGGATTACCCAGGACGATCATTCCGACTGTCGGAATCGGCTTCTTAAGCAACCTGAAACGATTAGCAAACAGTGTATTACTACATTACTTCTCACCATTCTTACCATCTTGAGAGTGGCTGTGGGTGTTAGTCTTTTCTCTTTGCACATCAATACCTACCCACACCCACACCCCTCAAAATATTATTTTTAAAGGGTTGAAATAAATATCCTGTTTACCTTTTTGCTTTTTTAATCTTTTTAAAATTGTTTCATTAACTTGTTGCAAATCTGTTTCATTTTTATCCAATTTTGTTTTTGGTCGACCTTTGATAAGTTAATTTTGTTTATTAATAGTTAGATCTGAACATAAAGCTTCTAGTTCAAAGAATTCTACTAGTTTAATTTTACCAGCTCGTCTGTTGTTAGTTCACGTTCAGGTGAACTATCATAAAAACCGAGATATGGATTGGGATTCTCCCAAATGCTAACTATAGAACTTTGGTTGTTTGCTATCTGAAATAAATCAGGTGGAAATAATTTTTTATTAAATGAAAACAATTGATATATATTTTCATTTTTCTCCTTCTTACAAATAGTGTACATATGTTTACATGCACTCGTTATACATCTCTAGTTTCTTTCTTAATATTTCTGTAGTCAAAAATGTGCATTTACAAATATTTCATTGAACGAAATCGATTAAAATTCTTTCATTATTTGAAAAATTTAATAAACATCTCAATCTAAAAACGTTCATATCTCGAGATCCAAGATTCATAGATACGAACGTTTCTAAGGATTTTTCAGTACCACTAAAACGTATCTATAGTAAAAAAATCAGTTGGAGTAGTACACACATCAATCCAATTGAAATATTTGCCCATTTCATTATCCTGAGAATTACTTTCTATTAGTCTTTTTGTGAGATTACTCGAATCTACCACTGTCTTTTTTAAACATAAAGTATAAAAAGCCATGAATGATATATCAAGATCTAAACAATAATTTATTATAGTGCAAATAAGATTTATTGACACGACATCATTAGATTTTATTTTTGATTTAAATCAAATTCTTTTTATGTGAAAAATAGGTGAATGAAATATATAAGCCAAAAGGCTAAATAGAACGTCATTGTTCTCAAAGGTCAATATTATATATGATGTGCACCGACTGGTACATAAACTTGATATATAATACAGCATTTACTCATAATAAAATGTATTGTTTATACAATATTAATCTCATTTATCATACGCCAGATTTTTGACAAATCCAAAGGTTAAACTATTATATAGATATGATATACAATACAATTGAACTTTAATCATATACTCACGAATTATTCGAATACATTAATCATTTTTGACATAAAATATGTCGAGGTAATATCATTGTATTTTGTTTTCAAACGATTCTTTTTATAGCTCTTAATAAGAAATCAAGGCATATATGCTATAAAAAGAAAATTGTTCTGTCAGTTTTTAGTTCTCATCATATAATAAATAGCATAAGTATTTCTCGCATTAAGTCATATTGGTATCTGTATTTATACATATATATATCTATATATACAAAAGGAAAAGGAAAAGGAAAAGGAAAAAAAAATATGTATATTAATTTCTTGTTATAAAATTTGAGCGCTTTGGTATATCGCCTGATGTAGATTTATCATCCTGTAATGTAGTAAATGCTTTGATCAATGTTAATTTATCTTGATTTAATAAATAGATTTGTTGTTCTGCATCATTTAAATCCTTTGAATAAGAAATATTTAGTTTCAATAGAAATTAATCGAAAAAAAAATCTATTTACGTGTGTCATTTTATCAAGCTTTCGTTGTAAGTCATATATAATCGAATCTTTATCATGAACGAGTGATTCAAGGGCATGAATATGTTCTTCAACTTGTCGATATTTTTCATCATCGGATGTTTGCTAATAAAAAAAAAAGAAATGATAAGAATGATGAAAAAAAATCTGTCATACTTTTTCTACCCGACATAGAATAAATTCTTGTGGTCGAAACATTTTTGTTGTTGTACTAGGATAAATAGTTGATGATGTACTTTTATTATAAGAATCTATGAAAAAAAATTGATTTAATTCTTTATTACAAGGATTTTTTACCTGTTCGAGGAATAGATAAATTTTCAAATGATGATCTATACAGTCAAATATAAATCGAAATGATATATTCATAAGTTTTGTATCTTCATCTACTTACTGAACTCGATTAATTGCAAAGATTGACTTTGGAGATGACAGCTGAAAGGAACAGATATATCATATTACAAATATAAAAGAAAACAAATCATTTATCACTTACATTTCGATTATGATCACATGACTCAATTGGCTCAGTGACGTATGTCAATGTATTTTTTTCTTCTTCGTCATCATCATTAGCAGAACCCTAGAATAGAATTCATTTACAACAGATATTTGTTAAAAAAACAAACAGACATATGTTTTCTCATTTAGTTACAAACTTTCTACTCATTGAGCTATCGTTTCACTATTAAAAAATATTTTCATTTTCAATAGAAACAAATAAGAATGGATTTATCGGAATTAAAAATATTATTTAGACAAAATCTGAAAAAACGATTTTCTTATGACTATATTAGTTTATTCAAAAAAATTGCGAATAAATACGTTATTGTTAATTATTAAAACAGATAGACTATTTTGAAATAAAAACTAAGAATCTAAATATACCTCAGTTGATGTACTTGCTAATGAAACATCATTTGGACGTATACCAGTTGATCGACGTTTATCTCTTAAATTTCGTTTTATTCTTGGATTATTTCGTGCAATTGATTTATTTGTTAGTTTTGTTGGTGATGATTGAACAATCATCGATACTGTTTCATTTGATCGATTAGTTGGTATTGGACCATCAAAAAATCGACGATCCGTAGTTGTTTGTATTTCATTTGTTGTTCGAAAAACTGAACGGGACATCTAGAATAAATTTAAAAAAATGATAAAATGTACATATAATAACATTATTTATCCTTCAAAAGATTTCCTATGTTCTAATAATAATAACAATAGTTCGATTTGTTTGAGACTATGTTAGATCCATATGTGTGATGTGTTTATTTATATTCGAACTAGTTCTGTCTATAACATATTTATTATAGACAAAAAAATCAAGACATAATGTATATAAAGGACTGTTATCGTAGATATATTTGCTGATTATTACAATTGTAATAGCGTGGGTTGATCAGAGAAAGTAAAACAAAAGAAGAAAATCTATTTATTTATCAACATCAGAATTTTATCATACTGTTATTCAAGGTTGATTATACAAAAGAATTCTTTCAAATATATCTATACAAAGAAAAGATTACTGTATAGGACATGATAAATCTAACATGATATTTTTATTCTCCTATGTTTTTATGATATATAAAGAACGTTATTAGATTGTTGTCATTTCTTGACAACTTGTCACAACACTAAATGTGTGGGTGTAGGCATGATAATACAACAATTTAAACTAGAAACTAAAGAGATATAAAGGACAGTTTATGTATTATCACTATAGATAATAATGATAGTCAATAGGAAATTTATATAAAATAAAATAGACATCACAGGAGACAAATAGAAATTTATGTACTGCGTAGGTGTATCAGAAAAAAAATTTCTTTTTTTGTTTCAAGTTAACAGAACAACGAAATGATGCATGTTTACTTACGTGAGTAATATATTGTATTCTACTTCATGTAATAAATACTTTTTTAGATGAAATATACTCGACATCGAATCATCGTTATTTCGTTTACAACTATTTTTAAAAATGAATATCAGTTGTACCTGATTTTTTTATGATATCTCTAAAATACTTTTATCGAAAGTTCTCAGATATAAAGGTACACTTCATTGTTTTTTAAACCGATCATTATGACGAAACTATGTACTGCTACGCACTAAGCTAGTCTGATACTCTTAAGTAATTGTCAGATAACTCATCAATTTATTTATATATAAATACAATATGAAATTCTATTTATTGCTTATAGAAATTATGGATATGTTTAATCGAGGTATTATTCAATGAGGTTAACATAAGGAGAAAGGTCCTTCGAAAGAGACATTTGGTTATAACGACATAATATATATATATATTAACATTCTATAAGTACTATAACGTTGACAAACAAGAAAATATGTTTCTTTAATTTCTATTCTAAAAACATTTGTTTTACCTCATTTGTTGTACATATATATATATATAAATATTTGAATACGTATTTGCTTTACAAAATATTTTATTAATCATTTCTCAAGATTGAAAAGCACAATGGTACTTGAGAAACCAGACGTCTAGTTATAGTAGTTTGATCGTTATCTAATACGCAATTACATTGAAAAAAATCTATTAAATGCAAATTTGTCTTGATTTTTATCAATAATTATTTCAAACGAAGACATTCAATGATAACTAAAAAATGCCTATATCCTATAATTAATAAATCTTGTTAGATAAAGGACAGATAGGTATGATGATTACTAAACTTATTGAACACATGTCCTTATCAAAGAATTCAATTTTAAATAATGATTATCTTAATGATATTTAATTTATATATAAAAATAGCAATTATTCAGTTTACTGAATATAACTCTGATGTTGTTTTTTTATAGATTAAATTGAGTTAATGCTATTTACTATTTCTATTTTCTTTCATTAATAATTAATGGCATCAAAGAAAAACAAAGTAATATTTGCACTTCAATTAAATTGAATTTTTTTTTAAATTAATAATGTTATTTATAATTACTTATCAACTAATGCATATGAAATAATAAGATTTATGTCAAATAAAAAAATAAGAATTTAAATATATGTTTTGAAATATTTCTAAGAACAATATATATATATATATTGATTGCATTATTTTTATTGAAATAATTATACAGGAAAATAAAATATTTCAATTAATGTTTATGATTTTAAATTAATTTTTGGTAAAATAAAGGGTCGTTGTGCTGCTGTTTCTCTTGCTTTCTTTCGATTGGCTGCATCTTGTTTGAGAATATTTGTATGACGATTAAAATCTTCTTCCATTTTTTTAACATCATAAACACCTTTGACATTAGCAAGACGATCAACAATGCATAAATTATTTTGTAAAATAGGTATATAACCTTTTAAAACTTTTCGACGATGATCATGAACATGTCGTTCTCGTAGACGTTCTTGTTCAATATGCGTTGTTGGATATGCACTTGCTTCACGAGCTATTTTAGCTAAACGTTCTAATTTCTGACGATTTTCATAATAAATTCGATTATTTTCGTCTTGTTTAGTTATTAGACGTTGTTGTTGTTTCCATTTACGTATATTAAGACGATCAGGTGGTAAATATGAAAATGTTTTACGTGGAGAATTTGACCGAGCACGTTGTCTATTGACTAATGATGCTGGAGTTCGTTGTTTTGAATCTCGATGACCATTTGTAGGTGAAATTGGTCTTTGAATTAGATTTTCATTCGTAGTTTTAGGTGGTGGTGGTACACCAGTTTGTTCAGATAAATTCGATGAATCTGATTGTGATCGAGTCATTTTTGGTGAACTTATTTGAGTATTTCGACGTGAATTTTGTTGCGTAAATTTTTCTGAACTTAATTGACTATTTGTACGATTTAATTCTAATGTTGTTGATGAATTTACTTGATTCTCTTCTTTTTGAATATCTGATATTTCTGGTGAACTATTTTCATTATTTGGTGAATTAATTTCATTATTATTATTATTATTATTTGATGAATCTTGTTTTGAATTAATCGACATTCTTTAACGATAGAAATCAAAACTGCCTGTATTAACGAATAAAAATTCCTTCCTTTTTTTACTTTATTATATATATATATATCGCTTGTTTCAAGAGTAGAAGTGTCTCTCGAGCATCCACCGTTATCAAAAGACAACAAGACGAGAGAAGAAGAAAAAAAAAATAGCGAGTAATGAAAAAAAAAAGAAGAAGAAAAAACTCCTTGCACTGTTATATTAGCCTTTGATAAGGAAGAATAGGTGTATAGAGAGAGAAAAAAAAAGACGACAGACAGACAGAAAGAAAGGACACAGGAACGGATGAGCGCAAGTATTTTTACTAACATTAAAAAATAAAAGATGTTGATAGTGTGGTATCTATGACAGCGCTTCCGTGCGTATATATATATATCATATGAGTGAATTTCTTTCGTTTTTCTTTTTTTTCCTTTCAAATGAAATATGAGCTTCATCATTGTTTTGTCTTGTTGTTTGACCATCAAATACAATGAAAATAATCAAATGAGAAACAGATGCGCTAGTCTTTCTTTTTCAGTATTGATACACTCGATTACACATTAATATAGAAGACCTCGTACTTTACAATAAGTAATTTTGATTTTATATGATATTACGAAGGATTTCTGATATACTGATAGTTGACACACAATCGCCTTTGCAAGGCTATATTGTAATCTTTTGATTGAATCTACAACCAATACCATGATTAATTTATCCATTTGTTCAATTAAATAAGAGAAAAAAAAAGCAAGGATATCGAACATTTGCTTAACTCTAAACGTACATAATGCATGTTATGTCTATATGTATATTTATTCAATGTCAATCATGGTTGACTGAGCAGGCTGGTTTAATGACGTAATACTCAGGTATAAAACCAGACGATTATACCGATCAGAGTACGAGTGACATTCATTAAACTATATATTTATACATATATACATACTCATATATAGACACATTGTCCTCATTGATAATTTGAATCATGGCCAACTTTGATATAGTTAAAGCAATGTTTGCTCAAGTCGATGCAAATAAAGATGGAAGGTACGAAAAAGTAGTTCATTAGATTTGACGAAACATTCTAATATTTCTAGTATTGATCGAAGTGAATTTCGAAATTGGGTTGGTGCTGGTAACAGTGGTAATGCAGCAGGAGGAGGTTTAACTTCTTCAACATATGAATCAGGTGCTTTTCAATCATCATCAACTGGTGGACTTGATGCATCAAATGTTCTTGCTGCTAGTGGCAGTGCTGGGTTCGTTGGCCAATCAGCAACTAGTGGATACGAAGCATCATTTAGCTCACAAAGTGGTGTTGAATCTGCTGACGGTCTTGCTGCTCGTGGATCGAATAATTCATATAACGCAATAGGAGCATTGTCAACATCATATGACGCAGGTGTTACGGCTAACGCATCTCTAGAATCAAGTGTTTCAGCACAACAACTTAACCAAAATATTTCAACTTCTGGCCTTTTTGTTGATCCTAATCCACAAATTATTCGAAGAGCAGCAACTGGAGGTGCTGTAACTTATCAACAAAAAATTCTTGTTCGATTTCTTCAACCTCCACCTTGTCCACCACCAGGCGTAATTAATTTTTTCATTTCATATGTACATCAATTTCTTATGATTTTCTTAATTATTCTAGCCACTTATTATTAAAGAAATTCGTCCACCACAACCACCTCCACCACCACCTCTTGTTGTACGACAACGTGCACCACCTATTCCTCAACCACCTCCACTTATCTTACGTGAACGTCCACCACAAATACCCACATCTGTTGCTAGTCAAACAGGTACAATAAATAAAACTTTCATATAATTAAATTAAATATTAAATTTTCATCTAGTTATTCGTCGTTTGGCTGCTCTACCTGTTCCACCACGATCAGTTATTATCGAACGTCTTCCTCCACTACCACCTAAACCACGTAACAAAAGAAATCTATTTCTATTTTTTTAATTTTACTAAAATTTTATTTTTTCTATATCTCAGGTGATATTATCATTGAACGTTGGGTTCCATATGGAGCTCAAGCTAAACGTCGTACAATTGTTCAACGTGCTACTGCTGCTAAAGAATATGCAAAACCACGTAATATTATCATTCAATATGAAGCACCACAAGTTCGTGTTGTTCGACAATTTCAACGACTTGGTGTTTCACAAGAAAATCCACAAGCTTATGTATCTCGTTATGGCACAACACTTCTAGATGCTGCTGCACTTCTTCAACAAGCTCGTGCTGCTGGTGTTGTCGAAGACATTGTAAATAATAGATACAATCATTAACGAAAAATAGATAACAATGTATTTTTTTTTCTCTTTCAGTCACCTCCTGCAGGTAGTGTACTAGCTACTCAATCTAATGCATCAGCTTCTACTAGTGAAGCTGCTTTTAATTATTCAAGTTCATCATCTGCTCAACAGATCTCATCATCAGGAGAGGCCACAGGCCTCGAAGGACTCCAAGTTACTGGTGGTGGTGGTGGTGGAACTGGTACATATGGTTTAGATATTGCTAGTAGTAGTATTAGCGGTGGTGGTGGTGGTGCTGCTGGCGGTGGTGCCAGCGGTGGTGCAACGATTGGTGGAGGCTACTCAGCTGAATCCTATTCATCAGCAGCAAGTTATAGTGCTGAAGGAGCCACAGCTAGTAGCGGCGAATACGATGCAACAGCAGCTAGTTTTGCTGCTGCAGATACCAATCATGATGGATCATTAGATCAAAATGAATTTCGACGATTCGTTCAAGGCGGTCTCTAAATAAACTGATAAACATTTATTCCGTCATTAATATTTTTTAGATTAGAACTTATTTTTTAAAAAAAAACGTCTTTTTGATATAGAAGAATAAATTACGTTTACAAGGAAAAGAGAACAAAAACAGGCTATGGAAGAAGCAAAACTGTATTTTGTCATGTACAATTAATAAAAAAAGAAAAGAAAAGAAATGAAATCAACCAATATTGCTCACACCACTATCTGCTGAATCACGTTTTCTTATATACCATACTGGAAGTGATGTTGATTGAGCTAATTGCATTGCTTCAAACCATAAATCTGTATAGCATTTTAATTTATTTGTAGAATTTTTTATTTTTTCATCAATTGAATCATTTTTTTGATAATTTATCTGATGTTTTGTGTCAAGACAAAATATATGTGTTTTAGTTGTTTCACGTAAAGTAAATATTCTCGTGTCTTCATCTAGTTGTAACTCAAGAAGGTCAGGTAATTTTATAGAATAATCTTCAGCTTGATCAAGTCTAGCACCATATATATGTAATTGATAATCTTCTTGTAAAGCAATCCAAATCGTTGTACCTGAATTAACAGCACGAAAATCACCAAATAATATAGTTTCATCGATTTCACGTGTTGCTTTTGGCCATATACTTGAATTCTTACTTAAGACTGTACCCGTAAAATGTGTATAACATGTATCACATATACGCACGTCACCGTCATTTTTACAATACTCAAGAGTTAATTTTTTAGTTGAACATGAACCACATATACATCGCCCACAACAACGACAATGATGTCGTCGACTGCCAAGGAATGTTGGTGGAAAACGATTATTACAAATCTGACAACGTGTAACATCAAGATCATTCACCCAAGCAGGAGCACGAACACCAAGTTGTTGTCCTTCACTTCGTCTAGTTGACGAACGAACTAAAATAGAAGAAATATTTCGATGTCGGAGAAAATTGATTAACAAAATAAACTTTTGAATTACGATGAAATGATAACGAATTATCTTACCTTCGATTTCTATATTTCTTTTATTATATGCATCACTTGCTTGTCGAATTTTTTTCACCCAAATTTCTCTTTCAGCTTCTTTATCAACTAAAAATTCATAAGATTTTTCTACAGCATTAACACGAAATGGATAATAAGTAATTCCAGTATTTTGTTGATCACTACTTGGTATAAATGATGTTCGTCCATGTTGTATCACATCAACTGTTATATCTCTCATTGTTAATTCACGTTTTACATCAAGTTTACGTCCTGATTCTTCACTACATACAAGTATACAATCGGAAAATAAAATCATATAACGTTGAACAATTTGTAGATGTTTACGTGGCGATTGTTTTTTTAATGAACCATGCCATAGAAGTTTACGATGATCTTTAATACATTCAAATTTATTATCTAGACGTTCTTTTAATTCATTTAATTGTGCTGATGATATAACTAATTCTTCTTCACAACGGCCAGCAATACGATCAAGTTCATCATGTATGCAACGTGTATATTTATATTCATCGGAATTTTCATCAAGATATTTCATATATGTTTTCATACAAAGTATATAACTAAAATATATAGAAAATATTTAATTAAATAAAATTTTATTTTGACGGTCTATTCACGTAAAATATGATTTCGTCACGCTCTATTTGTTTTCTTTACGTATAAACGGTTTAGTATCTAGAATCAAGGGCATTTACGATTTATGATTTTCAAAACGATCGTGACAAAATCATCCCGTTCTGTAGACAAGCTGTTTATTCAGAATGAAAACGATTTCATTTCACGCCTTTAATTCTCACATATTTTATCTACAGTGTTCTTTCTAATACACTCGATCACGTCCTAGTTATTTTTTGTTGACGATGTTTAAATTTATCTTAATAGAATCGTCTACATAGCTTTTAAAGAAGAGTATGTTATCTCTGTCTACTTATCAGATCAAATTTTTCATACAATATCTACTTAAGAAAAAGTAATTACTATAAATCTGATTTATCGTCTTTCATATATATTGAAATATAATCTCTATGTTCATCATTTCATTGAAGAACATTACTTATTCGTTATCTATTAAAAATATGAAAATGTCAACTTAATATCAAAAAAAAATAATTACCGAACTAAACGTTGATTTGGAACATTCAGTTGACTGGTTGGATATAAATTCCCAAGATATACTTGACATTTGAGCATTGCTTCATTAATCAATGGAAAATTTTTACATAAATCTTCTAATTTTCCTTGTGTTTCATTATATGTTACATAATAATTTTTATATAATACTTCAATAACTTTAGCATTTTTTTCTAATACTGACCACATATTACCGGTACTATCTTTAGCTATATGATCTTCAATTTCAGGTAAGATATGGCCATTATGAAGTCCATATATTTGTTGTATTGTACCAAGTAATGGTTTATATGTATTATTAAATGTTAATATAAGATTTTCATCTTTCTCACATGTATTTTTTACTTCGACAGTAAGTTTTACAGAAAGTACGTAAAGAATATTCACAAAAGTTTTCTCTGTTGTATGAACTTCTTCTAGACATCTACGTAGTTTAGTACGCTAGAAAAATATAAAATTTAGAAAAAATAATTAAATTAATAAAGAAAAAACGAACTCTTTCAGCTTCATAATCTATTTCTTCATCACTAAATTCATCGGATGAATTGCATCGACTTAAATTTACATTTGATGAAAGACTGGAATCAGTTGGATCAAATGGTGGAATGGAATGCCAACCATTTAATTGCGACTTAAGATATTTGTCTGGACGAGGCGGCGGGCGTACCGGAGGTTGATGAGTATTTTCTTTGAAATCAGGTGATTGTAATTTATTTGCTAGTGGAGTTTTAGATTTACGCGGCACAAGTTGATATACATGACGATTTTCTCGAGTGTCAAAAAATTCACGAATCTAAGAATAAATATCAAATATTAACAAAAATTGTTTATTATTTATTTAGATTTACTTTTGATACTGATTTTGGTTGTTCGGACTGATTGCTTTCATTTGCTAGTGACGAATCACTTGAATCTGGTAAAGGTGAAGATATGCATTCTTGTTCTTCAAAAGATGAATCCAGTCTATTATCTTGCACATTTTTCATTGAAATACGTAGAGCTTTATGTAAAACTGGATCATTTTTTTCATGTGAGAATGGGTGTGGTGATTCTGATTTAGCTCTTGGAAATACTGACGGTTTCACAAGTAATGGTTGAATAGAACTAGTTGATGTTGTTGGATTGACATCTGAGCTTGGATCTAAAAGATTTTTTAAAAAATAAATTTAATTGAAAAATTTTTCTTTTCTACTTGGTTTTGATAATGAAGTATGTGTAAATTTACGAGTACTTATTTGACTAGTTGGGATAGTAGGTATAGATGTTCTCTTCGGATAACCATGTGGCCGAGGTTTCTCTGATAATGCGGGTGTGTCGAATTTCTTACGAATTTCTTTAAAATCAAGTTTTTCAGACACTATTGTTGTTGTTCCATCGCTCGATGATCTAAATAAGTTAAGATATATTGTTTAATATTTTTAACAAAAAACTATAAAAATCATACTTTTGTTCCGGTTCGAGGTCATTACTCACTGAATTGGATCGAGTTTTTATCCGTGGTGATGATGATGATAAATGAGATATTGGTCCAGATTGACTGAATTTATTATGAGGCGTATCGTGCCCCGATGCAGCCATCAAAAAAAAGAAAAAAAAGTATAATAATCGTGATAAAACTAATGTGTCGAGACATGAATAGGTTTTTCTTTCTTTTTCTTTTTTCATAAATGAATCATCACTATGACTCATGTTCGATAATAAACAGTCTTTAGTAAATATTAGATATCATATCCTTTAAAAATTAATGAATCAACTAAATTCATATAGGAAAATGAGGGGAAACATGTGTTACTATTTTTAAATTTTATTTTCATCGAGAATTTAACTTGAAACTGTTTGTTGACATTTGGTTTATCCTCGTCGTCTCATTCTCATTCAAGTGGTGAAATTTGCAATGAAAGAACTCGTATTCTTTCTATTTTTCTATTAGGTAAGCCTGGTCGAAAAAAACAGAGAGGGAGGGAGAAAGAAAGACGACGAGTTTTATTTACTCGAATTTTTTTTTCATCATCATCATCATACAAAAAGAAAACGAGACAAATTTACAGCGAAGTTTTTTTTTTTTTTTTCTAAACAATAATAATATTTAATGAAAAATGGAAAATGAATTTTGTTTATCTGTTGACGTTTGTTGTTGTATATGTTCACGTGATTGTATTTGTCGTATACATTCGTCATAATCATGTACTAATTGTTGATATTTATCATGTATAAATATTGAATGATTATGAGATGGTTTAAGTGATACAGATAAATATTTACTAACAAGATTTGTACCATTTGTTTTATGTAAAACGTGTTTAAGTAATATTAAACCATAATATAATATAAATTCATGTCCTTGTGCTTGTAAAACAAAAAATTTATCTAATAATATTCCAATATAATGTATTGGTTCAACAGATTGTCGAACAAAATAAACAAATTGATGTAAAAATAATTTATCTGCTGCACCATATTCGACAAGTTCATTTAAATAAGGTATTAATTGTGTAGCTAACCAAAATTGTTTTTGATGATAAATTTCAATAATAAAACGAAGAAATAATTGACAAGCTAAACGATTATTAATCATATATTGAACAAATTCTGTTTGAGGTAATAAAAGTTTTAATATGGATGATGATGATGTATCTGTATTTAAACGATTTTCAACTATTAAACGAATAAGATATGGTAAATAATGTGTTAATAATCTTGAATCAATTGGATCATGATATGACATAGCACCATCAAGAACATCCCAAGCACATAAACCCATATTAAGTAATTTAAGAAGAAATTGTAATTCTTTATTTGATCGTGGTAATGGCATTTCATCATCGACCTAGAAAAATAAATGAACAGATTTATCTATGAGAAATTAAATCACTTCGAGCTCGAAAAAAAAATTTTAATTCTCACAAGGGCACTACCTAAGGTATCAAAAGCTTTTGAGCTGAAATTTTGCCCACAAGTAGGGGATACATAGACTAAAAAAAGCCTAAAAGGATGTGGACCCAAGTTAATGTTTGCCTGAGATATGGACTATTTATTGTATTTGTCCTATAGAGCCCTATCTGTGCAGTAAAATCAAAGTTTCGAATTGAGGCCAGAAACTTTGACTACACTAAGATCTCAATCAGACAAGCTTTCTCACAAAGTTTCTGAAAGACTTTCTCCGAGATATGAATCCATCACAATATTTATATGAAACCTAATACCCATAAGAAAGCGTCTTTGTGCTAATATACTTGTATCCCGGAGACAGTTTCTCAGAAACTTTGTGAGGAAGCTTTTCTGGTTGAGGTCTCAGTGTGTTCAAAGTTTCTGGCCTCAATTCGAAACTTTGATTTTGCTGCACAGATAGGGCCCTACAGGACAAATACAATAAATAGTCGATATATCAGGCAAACTCCAACTTGGGCGTATATCCTTTTAGGCTTTTTCCTGTCTATGTATCCCCTATTTGTGGGCAAAATTTCAGCTCAATAGCTTTTTGATACCTTAGGTAGTTCCCTCATCAGTATTTCCTCATATTCTATTTTAATTAAAGTATTTCATTTAACCTGTTTATGTAGTAGAAGTACACATGATTTAGCTAATATTGAAATAATATTTGGATCAGCAAGTACAAATGGTATATGTTTATTAATAATATCTGTATCTCTTGCATGTGCATCTAAAAATTGTTCGATTTCACGTTGTTTTTTCACATCTAATTTTCTTTCTTTTAATGCTGCATCAAGTGTCCAAACAAAAATATGTATTGAATCTGATTTAGAAACACTATTATTTTCTAAATCATGAAATGCCATTAATAATAATAAACGTAATGATGAATAATGAGCTATTTTAGTTCGTTGAAATAGTTTTTGTAAACTTGTTCGTACAATATCATATAATTTTATATTTGTTCCAATCATATGTACAAGTGATTGTATTGTTGGTGAAGTTTGTCGACGTTGTTTAGGTAATTGAAGAAAATAATTATGATCACATTGTAATAATTGTTCTTCAACATTAGTTAAATATTGAGCAATTATTGGTTGAAGTTCTTTTTGAAATAATGTATGATTATCTGTCCATATTAAACGTTTTAATTCAATAGGAGCACGAGAATATATTTGTTCGTGTTCAGTGATATATTTGACATATCTAAATTGATAGAAAAGAAGAATATAATGTTTAGAAATAAAGGAATATAACAGTCATAGTAATTTAATTAGATTAGCTATACATTGATGTTTGAAATAGAGGTGCTATGTTTAGTTTTTTTTGAGAAGTGATATGTATTTAGAGTTACTTGACTATTTTTTACAGTCACCGAACAAACAAACTCATGTATTGTGTAGATTTCAATGAGCTCTACAACTTTTGTCTCAAGGACGTAGTCGAAATTTTGTCCGGCAAAACAGTTATGAAGTGTAGAAGGTAAGTGCGCCACTTACTTTTTTCTCTGAAATGAAAATTGTAGAGCTCATCGAGATCTACACGATACACAAGTTTGTTTGTTCTATGACTGCAAAAGATAGTCAAATAAGTGTAACACTCCTGGTCTCGATTTGTATTACAATCGATCTAGAATACCTTCACTACTATCTGATAGTTAAACTAGAATAAATCAAATCATCTAAGTTGTCTTTATCTATTTAAAATATGCGGAACACGATGTTTTGATCGATAAGAACGACTCAATACTACACATTCAAGAGTTTGTTTGATTATATACTTAAATAAAAGTATCAATTTTCTTTTATCTAACTAAATAGTTTATTCATAACCTACTTATCTGGTATTCTTGGCATATATTTAACAATTTCCATAACAATTGGTGTAACATGTGTTAAATTAATAACGGCAAAACTTTTTTCTAATAAAATTTCTAATTGTTGTTTATCATCATGTTGTGCTAATTCTTGTATTCTTTTAATTAATCTATCTTTCATATCATCAAGAACAGCAAGATGAAAATCTAATCGTTTAACTCCAAGTAAATCAAGTAATGGTAATGCTGGTCTTATTTGTGCTAAAGCAATTCCATTTTCGTCTTGAATATCTTTTATAGCTCGAAATGGATCTTCACAATTTGTTAATGTAGTTTTAAGATCTTCTTTAAAATTAATATTCATCTAGAAAATATTTTCAAAAGAGAAACGAAAATTCACAAAAATGACACAATGACAAAAAAGAAAAAAAGAACGAAAACTCTCAAAACAATAAGTTAATTTAATAAATTACGAGTTGTTTGAATATCGGATTCTGTTTTTATGATTGATTCATGATTTTGTGTATATAAACTTGTTTCTTTTACTCGATCAAGAAGACGAGCTAAATAGAAATTGTTAAGAAAAAAAAATGAATATTTTTTTTAGTACTTTGAAATTCAAGTATAGCATTTTGTCGTTTAAGATCTTCGATAATTTTTTGATGTTGATTATTTTTCGATTTTAATGTATGAATATAATCAGTCGCTGATTTAAGAACATGAGCACGTGAAGCCTAAAATAAAAAGAATTTTTCCCTTTTTTAATTTTAAAAGAAAATATTTCGTATTTAATTTTCAATACCTTTTCACCTTTTATTATAGGTATAACATCTCGTAAATCATTAAAACTACCTTTAATATGATCACGTCTTTTTCGTTCAAGAGCATTATGATGTGCTCGTTTTTCTGCTTGATTTTGCCCGTTATTTGATATAGTTGAAGTCATATCTACATCATCTAGGCTCATATTATTATCATTAAAATGATCAAGATCAAGATCTATAGACATATTATCTAGAATAAAAAGAATTTTTTGAGATTTTAAACAATTACATTGACTTAATATATGAAGAAGATTTTTTTCTCCCAACTTTTAGCATTTTAATTGGTAAGAGAAACAAAACATCTAAACTAGATGAATCATCAAACATTGTCTGTCAAATGAAAAACGAATGAACGACATCTATCAAAAACATTTTCTAGAAAAATTAACCAAGAAAATTTCGAAAATTTTTTTTATTTATTATTTAAATAAATAAATATACATTTTCATTGGTTAATATATCTTCATAAAAATAAATACAATAAAATCTAACTAACAACCATCACATGTATATGAATGTATGTATGCGTAGCCTATCTACCTGTCTTCTGTCTGTCTATTGTGTTTTTATTTTTCTTCGTTCTTGTTCTTGCACAACCTTGTTTGACTTACAAATATTTTTTTTCTTAAAGATTTTTTTATTAGCTACAAAAATTATGTTGAAAATCTTTCACATTCATTTCATGTGGACATGCGGATGAATCAACAATATCAACAAAGACCAAATGGCTTTGTAGCCAGACAGAAATATAATAAAGGTAATGAACAACAACGTCATCAATATCCACAACAATCTGCACCTAAACAAGAATTTAAACCCGTTACAATATTAAAACGTGGCGATCCATCAGGAACAACAATTATTAATAAAGATGATAGTCAATCAAAGGAAAATATTTCAGCAAATGGACAACAAACAAAATCAACAAGCTATAGAGTATAAAAATTAATCTTGTCTTATAGAAAATAATTATCCCAAAATATTATGTAGCATTCGATTATGAGTTCATTGATAAAAATCTCTAATGTTCTATATTTACTTTATTAAGAGATCGTTTAGTTTTTAGAATATTATGAAGTAATACTTTACTTACTTCCTCTGAGAAATATTGCGTTTGATGTAAAACTATACGTAATATTTCATAAGATTCTATCGTCTTCTGTTTCAGTGAAACTTTCGAGTTAGATTTTCTTTCTATAATCTTGACTTTTAAAATTAAGAAAAAATACTTATGGCCACATTATAAAGATGAACAGTTTTCAATCGAATAAACTATTGAAATTCTTGTTGACAATTAAGAATCTCTTGTAAACATTTAATCTAATGAAGACAATCATGAGACGATATTTTTTATTTAATTTATTTGAACGAGTAAATCTATCAATAAGATTATTATAAATCTCGATGAAGATAATATCTTTCGTGAAGATAAACTTGAAGATATTTTATCTATTGAAATGATCTTACGTAATACGACTATAAAATCCTTGATTTCTTCTATACGTAAAAGTATAAGATTTATTAATCATTGATCGATGATAAGCTTAATTAAGATATGGAATACTTTCGAGACTTGTATACATATTTAGAAAATTTTTCTATCATCTTCATGTACTAATTTTTGTTTATTGAGTTCTTTTCATAAAAACATCATATTTTCTTTTCAGCAAATGGTCATACAACAACAACCGCAATCACAACAACAACAGCAGCAGCAGCAACAGCCTCAAGTGCCTGTAATTTTATCATCGTCATCAAAACCTTCATCAAATGTATCACCACCTGTAGGAAGTCCTTCAACATCCACACCTATTCCTCCTACACCTTCATCAAATTCAACATCAACAACAACAACAGCAGCAACAACTGGAACATCAGTTAATGTTCCAACTACACCATCACTTCCTCCTGTTGTTCATCGACCAAGTGGACCAATAAATTTAACACGTTCAACATCAACAATTTCATCACCAATATTAACTCAAACTCAACAGGATCAACATATACAATCGATAAATTCTCGTTTACTTTCATCATCGATGACAATGAAATCATCATTAAAATTAATTGATGATTCATTAACATGGTGTGAAAATGGACAATTAAATAATTATTTACAGGATTCCGATGGTTTTGTTGTTATTGGTGCTATTGGTAGAGAAAAAGTTGGTAAATCAACTTTACTTTCATTATTAGGTGGAAATCAATTTATTGATGAAGATCGTTTGATGATATTTCCAGCAGCATCATCGAATTCACATAAAATTACACGTGGTATTGATGTTTATATTACAAATGAACAAACAATCTTATTAGATACACAACCATTACTAAGTTCACAATTACATCAACAACAAATCTTAGAATCATCGAATGATTATCATCGTTCACAACAACAACAACAGCAACAACAAACACCATCAATACCACATTATTGGCAACAACAAACTGATCCTCGATCAATGTTTATTGATAATGTACTTGAATTACAAACATTAGAAATAATTGCATTCATATTAGCTGTTTGTCATGTTGTTTTAATTGTTGAAGATCAATTTGCTGATCCATATTTATATCGTTTATTACAATTAGCAGAGATTTTACGTCCAGTATTAAAACGTAATAATACAAAAGAAATTCTACGAACACATTCACCACATATTGTTTTTATATTAAATAAATGTAATAATTATATATCACCACAAGAACGTTTATTAATAAAACGTTCATTAGTACAAACAATGATGGATACACATTTTCGAATCTATTCATCATTAAAACAAACAAATAAAATAAAAATACAAACAAATTTAAAACATATTGTATCTGATTTTAAACAACAAGAATTAAATGAAAATTTATTAATTAAATTATTACAACAAATGAAAATTAATGAAAATAATAATGAAGAATTTGATGATACATATAAAGTAAATATATTAATTGATATAATATACGTTGTTCGCATAAGTTTTCAGTTATTGAGTATAAATCTAAACATTGTCAAAAAGGAAAAAAGCGATTAAATTAAATCCACGTTTATTAATAAAATAAGTAGTACTAATCGAAATTTTACAAAAAAGCAATAAAAAAATTCAATAAGTTTTAAGCCATTTTATTCGAGTGCCTTTTTTTTAAAATTCTGATCGTACTCATAAATCTAAACCCTGAATTCTTAGATCAATATTGATAGCACAATTTATGTCAATAAATACATCCGTAATTTAGTCAAATTAATTTATTATTTCTTATGTAAACAAAATAGTTAACGTTCGAAACTTTTCGAATATATGATTTATTTAAGAACAGGAAATGAATTGTATGATAAACAAACCATTGCTATATCTATATATTAAATTATGAAACTTTTAGGAAATTGATCTAACAAACGATACTGATGAAGATCCGGATGAAAAACGTTAGTAGAAATCTATTTGTTAAATTTTTAAAAGAAATTTTCTTCTTCTTTTTTTTTTCTTAGATATAAATTATGATCATGTCAATGCAATATTTATACCACGTCGTGATTTTCGTGATTCACATTCATCACATTGGCAATCACGTTTTCTTGGCTTTTCAAATGCTGATTCAATTGTTCGACAACTTCGACAACAATTACTTGCTATTGATCGTCCTCGCATTGAACAATGTCAAACACAACGTGCTTGGTTAACACATGCTTCTCATATTTGGGATATGATTACAAAATCAAGTCAGGTAGAAAAATCAAACTCATTTATCTTTTTTGTTACATAAAATAAATCAATTTGCGTGTTTTCTCTTTTTTTTTAAAGTTGGCCGAATTTAGTCGTTTATTAACATGAAAGAATTGATAATAAATGTCCGTTAACAAGGACAACTATGGAAAAAACGAGCAATATTAATAACAATCTGAATGGTAAATGATTGCTGACCGAGCAAAATAAAATCAAAACTAAAACAAAGTCATGCTAGTACATGATAAGAAAGAAGATGATGGCAATTATAGAAATGAAATGACCTTATACAAGATTATTAGAAAAAAAAAATCCAAATTAAATAGTACTAGGTATTTATTAAAATACTAGACTATTATTATTTTCATGGTCATTAATTCTTTTTCTCTTCTTTGATTTTTTTTCTTCTTATCTATATCTTTTCATTTTTGCTCTTGTTTTTTTC